GTTGGATTGATTTTTAGGTCAACCCGATTCAGGCCGGAATAAAAATATTTTTGGCCGGAATGCCGGAATCTATTTTTTACTAGGGATGTACCGGAATTCCGGCCGGAATTTTTATCTTTTAAATCAAGTCGCTTCCGGCCGAATATTTTTTTTACTTTATTTTATGACATGTGACACACAGGCTGTGTAAATAAATCAAAAAATCATTATCCTACAGAGCAATGAAGAACTATAGGTAAACCTAGGTATAAAATACAAATTTTTGCAAATGTATTTGCAGTACTATTATTACTGTAAATAAAATTACATTTGTATTTTTTACTTTTTTTTTTTTCATTGAGATTTGTAACTCAGACTGAGTAAATTAAATAAAAAAACCATAGTACTACTGGGCAATGAAGAGCTATAAGTAGGGTAAGGTTGCCGATATTGTACCGGCGCCTAAATTGTACTTTTGCTGTATCTAGTTATTTTTACAACCCAGAAAATATCTTTTGACTTAAATTTTATCTTTGCTATGTTGAACTAATGAGCCAATTGTTTTTTCGTGAGATGAAACTAAATTCACCTCACGAAACGTGAGATGAAACTAAATTCACCTCACGAAAGTCTCACTCGACAGCCTCGAGTTGATAAGATGCCAAAGTTTTCTTATTTTTGGGGTTCAATGTTTAGATTTTTTTAGACTTTAAACTTGTTAAATATGTCTTTTTTATCATATTTATGTGAAAGCACTAGTTATATGAATTCAAATTAAATTCCAAGAAATTAAAATACATTAGCATTTGCTGTCTAATTTCGTTATAAACTCAAAATGAGTCTAGTCGCGTCACTTAAGGTTGTATTGTACCAAAGCTGCCATTTTGAATGCTCAAAATACGCGGGAAGTATACAGGTAGATGCACCCCAAAAACCAAGGCACCTCAAAAACAACGCGGTCAGTTAAAAGGCTCTAAAAATTTAAATAAGCATTTTAAAACCATATGAGAAATTTTTTCTCATAAAGGAATGTTTCAGCAACAATTAAAACAAAAGAAATCAATATTAACAATAAAGGAGTTTTTTTTACAACCGTTTTAAACTTAAAAAGTGCTGAGAAAAATAATTGAGTTTTAAGTAATATTGCTATAAAATATTGGTTTTTTAGACTAAGTTTGCAAATCCCATCTAGTTTGCTTATCTTTTATATGCTATTTACATAAATCAAACCATTTTTATTATAAGTAGAAGGGAAACTTGTACAAAAAAGTTTAAAAATTACATTTTAACATGTGGTTTTTGGGGTGCGCTAAGAAAAAGTTAAAAAAAAAAAGTTTATCCAGAACAAGTCTTTACAACAAATTTAAAACAAATAGTTCATTCAATAAAAAAGATTTTGAATATCACAGTTATTTCTTTCTAGCAGCTGCAGATAAAATCATTTCTGGGTTTTTTCCATTTACTTTGCAGTTTGCTTTGCTGCAAATGGACCGCATTATATTGAGGCAGGTTGGACACTGCTTTAAGCCAAAAGCTTTACATTTTATCTCCTCGCAATAGCATTGAAGCTTACATGTTATAAAGAGTCTTGTAACTTCCTCTTTCTTTTGTGCAGCATTTTCTTTTTTTTCCTTTTCTTTTTCTTTTTTTCTTTTTATGCTTTCAACTAGAGTTATTACATCGCTTGCAGTCATTGATCCATGTACTTGGGTAACACGTGTTGCATCTTTTGTTAATTTTGGCTTTATCTTTTTGGTTGTCATAAAACCAGGTATTTCTTCTAGCTGAATGCTCTTTTCATGAAGTTCATCAATCAACTCCATCGCTTGTTCAAATTTTGATTTCCAATAATTTGCTGAACCACGTCTTTTATCCGGCGAAGAAATTAGTGGAGAAGTCTGTTTTTCTGGTTCAATACAGTTTTCTGCTCGTTCGAATTTGTCTTTTTGCATAAAATCAACACTCAATGCATTTTCGGCAACACCAACCCTTTTAGCAGATTTTACAAGCGTTTCTTTGGTTTTCCACTTGTCCCATATATTAGCTAAAACTAACATAAAAGCTTCTTTGTTTAAGGAACAGATATCAGAAAACATAGAGTCTTTTTGCTTACGATACTCACAATGAATGTTCTTGTTTACTTGGTCAAGAAGTTGAGTAACTCCTGTTGTGTCTGGTGGAGTAAGAAAAAGATAAATTCTTTTGGACTCCAAAAAAGATAATACATCAAAGTCTAGTCTAGAGCTATGTCCATCTGATAATAAGACGATGGGTCGCTTAACATTTTTTTCATTTAAGTAGACATCAAACTCTTTCAATGCTGCCAAGAAAGATTCATGGGTTGATACTCCATTATCTGTAGTTGTGACCAACAAATGGGGAATTTTGTTTACTGCTTCTGTTGGAACCATAGAACTAGTAATACCAGTACATTTAAATATTACCTGACACATACATATGTCGCCTAAAAATAAAAAATAAAAAAGTTTTTTAATGCTTGTATTTATTTATATTCAATTTTTTCTTGAACCATAACATATTATAGCATACCTGAAAATGAAACAAATGGTTGAATTGTGACACATTCTCTGTTTTCTCTATACATTCTTTGACATGCATCTCCTTTGCCAGCATAAAATAATCCAGAAGTGGTACCATCAATTCCATAATTAATAAACTGGGGTGTTTCATCACAATTAAATATTCGGCATGTATCAACAGTGCTATTCCAAACCCCTGTTTCAATCATTTTTTCATTTATCATAATACCAACATCTACTAGTTCTTTAGCAAGGGAATCTGAAATAATGTTATTATAGGGAAATGAACAAATTAAAAAAAAAAAGTACATTCAGATTTATGAATTTATATTTGTTCATTAATAACTTACCTAAATGATTACATGCCATTTCTCTTGAACAATTAAGTGCACGGTTTATCGAGACACTCCCTTGGGGTTTGATTGTAAGGCTGCTATGTTTAGCATTAAAACGAAGCCAAAATAATCGACTCAATCTATAAAATAGAATATTTACATAAAGAAAAGAGTCATATTACCCGTCTTACATACTTTTATAGGATCATTGTAGATTAAATGAATTCAATTAAACTTACTTTCCCTTTTCTAGAGCAGCTCGAGCATTTAATGATAACTTTTGAAACTTCCGTCCACCTTTCATTTTTGTATTAGTGTAATCTCTCACATGAAGCACATTAATAATTAATTTGGTTATGTCCTGTTTGTTAATTGCCTGTAAACATCTGTTCTTATTTTTTATAAAACGCACAATAGATGCTTCTTCATCATCTGTAAGTATAGTACAATAATCTCTTTCTTTTCCATTAATCACTTTTCCATCTAATCGCCTGTTGATTGTCTCTCTATTTTTAATAAGGGGAAACAAACCTGTCTTTAATGCTGCTTGTCCCCTTCCATTAAATTTTTTGCACCAATTTATTGCAGCTTCTAACTGTTTATTTTTATCATTTGTGTGTTTTCTGGCCACTATGGCATCAGCTTTAGTACTGAGATTTCTTGATTTGTTTATACGAAGATGTAATGCAGATGATGGTTTCATTTTACTTTATAATATTATATTAAACAAAATTCTAAAACAACAAAAAACATAACATAGTTCAATGGTAGTATTTTCACAATACATTAACTTTTTTTTTTTTTTTTTATGATGACAAAGAGCTACTATCTTAGAGTACATCCTAAAATTTTTTTATTGAATTATTTTATATATTTTCTAAAATATTCAAATAACCAACTTTTTTTGGGGTGCACATGATGTGGTTTTTGTGGTACATTGAAGTACATCCTAAAAATTTAAGTTAGCAATGATACAATCATCCTAAGACTATTTTATTATAACTATCTTCTACAAAAAATCAGTTCTTAATTCCAAATAGTTTAGATTTTATAGCCAATTTTGTCAATGTTGTTTTTGGGGTGCATGAAAAAAAGTGTGGTTAACTTCAACATTCTAGAAAAAAAACTCAAGCGAGACTTAAAAAACCATACCTACCAGGAAGAACCCTATTTAGGCTTATCTTTCAGAACCCATATTAACAAAATTATGATCTGTCCCTAGAAAATAAATCTAAACCCTCCTACTTTCGCGTGGCTTTTAGGGTGCAACCACCTGTATAAAATTAATATGAATTTTAAAATGTTGAAACGGAGATATGGGTTTGTGGACAAAAGAAGATATGAAAGAGGCTATTTTTGCTTATCAAAATGGTAAAATTGGACTTAACGCTGTATGTGCAAAATATGGAATTCCTAAACCAACATTAAAAAGAAATGTGAATCATTAAAATATTTTTGCAAATGAATCAAATAAACAGTTAGGTAGGTGTAGTATCTTACCTCCTGAAGTTGAGAAAGAATTAGTTGAACATGTTTTGAAACTGGAATCTTGTATGTTTGGAATAAATACAATAGATCTTAGACTATTAGCATTTGAAATTGCTGAAAAAAACAAAATACCTCATCAATTCAACAAAGATGCTGGTATGGCTGGAAAGAAGTGGTATTACCAATTCATGAAACGCAAGCCTTAGTTTGAGATTACCTGAACCAACTTCTATGGCAAAAGCCACAGGTTTTTGTAAGGAAAAGTTTGTATTATTTTTCAATAAACTTACTGAAGTTGTTGATAACCACAATATTACTGCAGATTTGCTTTACAACACAGATGAAACTGGAATAAGTACAGTTCACAATCCAAGGAAAGTTTTAACTCTGAAAGGTAAACACCAAGTAGGAGGTATTACAAGTAGTGAAAGGGGTGTGAATACCACTGCCATATGTTGTATGAATGCTGTTGGATCTTTTGTACCTCCTATGCTTATATTTAAACGTAAAAGATTTAAAAATGAGCTTAAAGATGATGCCCCACCATTGACAGTTTTTGGATGTTCTGATACTGGTTGGATAACTAAAGATTTATTTACTTTGTGGATAAGTCATTTTATAAGCTCACTTATAAAATGACTCACTGTCTTAAACCTCTTGCAGAAAATCCAGAACAAAAAAAAGTTCTTCTTATACTTGACGGGCATTCAACACATACAAAAAATCTTCAAGCCTTAGTTCTAGCTCAAGATCACGGAGTGGTAATGCTTTCTTTGCCATCGCATACTACTTATAGGCTACAACCTTTAGATAGATCTTTTTTCAAAGCTTTAAATTCTAAATATAATACTGCTTGTGATAAATGGATGCGAACCCATCTAGGCAGATGTATTACTTAATATCAAGTATCTCAACTGTTTGGCGAAGCTTACTCAAGAGTTGTTGGTATGGAAATAGCAGCGGATTTAGAACGGATTTAGAGACACTGGGATATGGCCGGTAGACAGCTCAGTTTTCTGGGAAGAGGACTTTGTACCTTGTGAAATACTCAGTGGAGAGATGAGCTCAAATGCAAAAGCTTCCCAAACAGTAAGTTTAGTCATAATTTGCCTTTAGTCGCATATTTTCTTTCTCAACTTATTCAAATACCATAATTGTTACTGTTGTTCTAATTATATATTTTTTGTTTAACGTTTCATTTATTTAGGATGAACTTATTTTAGAAACAATTTCTGCACATCCAGTGAAAACTTCTTCACTCGAGCGAAATCCAAAAAAATCTAGAGCTACTCTATTGAAACATAATGCACATAATGAACCACTCTCTAACGTAACTTTATTATCATCAATGAAAAAAACAGAACAGTAAGTCTTTTATTTTGTTTGTTGCAATTTTACATTAATGGTTACACACACTCAAAACACACACACAATACACACACACACACACATGTTCATCTCCGAAGGTTATCCATATTATTATTTTCTTAATTAAAATGAAAATTTAAAGCTAATTTTTACTAGCAGAAAATTTTTAGTCTGAAGAAAATTTGTTAGAATTGTTATTGGTTATTTTTTAGGTTGCAGTGTCTTGACATACCAATAAAAGCATTATCTCCACTTCCAGTTAGAACTTCTCCTCTCAAAAGAAAAAAAAATAATTCTAATACAACTGTATTGACGAGTAGTCCTTACAAAGATGCACTCTCTGGAAGAGCTTTACTGCGACCAAATAAAAAAATAAAGCAGGACAGACAATGTTTAAAAGAGTGTGAGAAAGCAAATAAATCTCTTCAAAATGAAAGCTGGTTTTGCTACCTCTGTGAAGAAAATATAAAAAAGAGTATGATACAATGCCTTACATATTAAGGCTGGTGCCATAATGACTGTCCATAATGAAGGTGTTAATCAAAAACAAAAACGTTATATTTGTAACTTTTGTCAAGAATAAAGATTTTCTGTTTTGTATTATTAATATAATGTGCAGTAATATCCATCATTTTCTTACCAAATTCTAGAAACCACATAAGTAAGTTACACATTTAATATAAAAGTTATACCTTATTGAGATGTTTTCAGACTATTCTAGGAACTTTTTTACATTGCTTGGCACAGAAAAAGATCTTCATAAAAATCATTCAAAATGTACTGTAAATTAATATAGTATTTATAAAATCAAAATATAGGTACAATATTGAAAAATTTAATTCCCTATCAAATAACAACGTTTAAATATTTGAATATTTCAACTTTTTTAGAACAGTTTATCCCCTAATTATAAAATAAAATAAAGTCTCATCGTTTCTACTTTGTATTTTTTCTCTATTTTTGACTTTACTCTTAGAGGGTACAATATTGGCAACCTTACCCTTGATAAAAAACCCTTACTTAAACCTTGATAAAAAAATACAAATTTCTTAACAATTACAATGTAATTTTAGATAAAGCTACAGTTAAACGGTCTAAAATAATTTTATTTTTTTGCTTGCTCCGATCTCCTTAGTGGAGGATTTTTAAACATTAGGAGTTTTAATTGAAATAGGTTAAAGCGGGGTAACATGCCGAATGGGGCAAGATGGGTTTTCGTATAACTCAATAAAAAATTTTAAAATTGGGTGAAAAACACCAATTGGTTATTTGCAATATTATTAACGCAATTTTATACGCATAAGTATACTTAATGCGCTTAAAAAAAAGATTCCTCATTTTCGGTTTCTCATAATGGATGAGGTCCTTCAAGTTTAACTTCTTTAGAAGTAGTTTTTTGCAATTTGTGTTTACTTTTTGTTACTTTATTTAGAGTTATTGGTAGTTTTTTAAATTTTATAAAATTGAAGACAAAAACTGCTTAATAAGTCATTTTTTTCCCGGTCAAGTGACCAGATAACAAGTTGATGAACTTTTTATTTTAATATTTATTTCAAATTGTTATATTTGCAAACTGAAAATTCATGCAGGCAATGAATCATTTTAATAACATAAACATACTGAGAAAGTATTATTGGTTCACGACTGATAGTTTTGCAAATACATAGGGTTTTCAAAACGTTTGCCATGTTGCCCCACTTTCCCCTAATAAAAGAAAAAAGATTGCTGCGCCATGCTAAATCCTTAGTCGATGTAGCAGCACTTCTTTGTAGCAGATTATAAAATAGTCGATGAAGCAACACTCCCTATTTGCAGCAGGCTATAAGATAATTGATGTATATTCTAAAGTAATAATAATTCTTTGTTTATATTAAAAAGTCACCACTTAGAACAAGTGTACACAAGAAGGCGCCACAAGCGAAAAGATGAAATTCTTTTAGACCGCTTAACTATAGCTTTGTCTAAAAATTCAAAATTTGCAATTCGGTACACCCCTAATGTGTACAATTTTTTAATTAAAAAAAGTTGTTCTGTCATTCAAATTTAGTTGCGGTCGGCGCTCTTCTGTTGACTTATTTAAGAAACGATTTTTTTCCCGGAAAATACATTTTAAATATTCTGTTTCCCGCGATAAAAAAATTCAATATAAAGGCAAGGTTTTCATTTATTCAAAACTGCATAAATTTTTATTTTTCTTAATAATTTTTACAAAAATACTAAACTTTTTTACATTTTATACATAGTATAAATCTATCTACTTACATAATTCATATAAATATTTTTTTTCTACTATAATATAGAATAACATTATTTACAACACGTGATATATATAACTCTTATATTTTAAAATGCAATTACTTCTAAATGTTATTTTTCTTTGGAAATTATCCTGTTTTGCTTTTTATTTCAAGTTCGGGATTATGTTTTGGAAATTCCATCAAAGTAATAGGAAGAGAACACGTTTTAATAACGTGCGATCTATCTTTGGAGCTGTGTTGTATAAATAGTTCTTCAATCCATTCTTGGAAGTTTCCCCCTCCAAGTGTATATAGAGACTCACCCATGCTTAAAATATTCATTTCAACAATAGCAATTTCACCTCGATCATACAAACCATAATTGCTTGCACGAAATACGTGCGGATTACCTAACTCTTTAATTAAGTAATTTAGTGTGCGATTACGTTTATGGAAATGTGTACTTTCAACTAGTGTATCAGAACCGTCTTTAAGATCATTAGCTAAAAATATTTTATAAGTTGTATTTTTAAGTCTTATCTTTTCGCATAACTGTTGTATACAATTGCGTGTTGCACGATATCCCTTTCCTAAAAGATGACGTTCGCTACGAACATGTATTGATATAAAGGGTTGCTGCATAATGTTTTTGACGTAATCATATGCAATATCTATTAGGCGCTGGCTGTGCTGAATGTCATAAGAATGTAACTGTTTTTTTATAAATGGAGATATTGGAAAGTGTGTTCTTCTTACGCCATTTCCCTTCCAAGATACTATTCCAACGCATTGACTACCTTTTAATATAAGATTTTCAAGTTGGTTGCTTGTTTTTATAATTTCTGGGTTAACACACACATATCGATTCACTTTAACGTTCAAAAATTCTGCTATCTGTGATTGTTTAACAAAGCTGCATTCGATCCACCCATTGTTATTAGAAGCTTCGTCTAAAATATGTTCATACTGAACTTTAGTCTTTTGATACCACCTGGAAAATTCATTTAAAGATATTGAATCATTGTAAAGAAAATGAATAACTACATCTAAGGTTTTGCATTCTTTTGAAAATTCTTTAAAAGTGACAAGGCTTGAATAACCGTGAGATGACATTTTAGAATGCAAATGATCAACATTAAAATACCGATCAAGTTCGCTAAATTTATTTCCTTTGTATTCTTCGTCATTGCTTTGATTTAATTTTTTTGCTTCTAGAAACCTTGAATAAGAAAGACCAAGTTTAAGACCGCAAAAGCGCGAGTTATTGACAAAAGGCATTACAAGATGACGACTAGTGTCCGTTGCCAGTGATGATAACGCAAGAAAGTTTTTTGTGGCTTTTGCAAGTTGTTCATAGTGTCGCAAAGCAAAAATATACTTTTTCTTTTCATGTATAAACTTTTTATAAACACTTTTACTTTCGTATGTTAACTGATCTTGTCGAGTTTGCTTAATTTTTGTTTCGTCAAGCTGTATATCTCCATTTTCGTACTGTTTTTTTGATATAAAAATGAGTTCCTTGCTAGCTAGTTCTTTTGTTTCGTCATCAATATTAGTTGAAAATTTAATTTTCCTTTCAAATTTGTTTGAGTCGAATGCTTTTTCTTTTGTAACTATGTAGCTGAACTCCAATTCGTCGCTACTGAACCAATTAACACTGCACGACGTCAAAAAATTATTTGAATATAAAAAATAGATCAGAATATAAAAAGTCAAAAATGCGCCAGAAAAAATACATTTTTTACTAAACTTCATCAGTAAAAACTTCATAGTTAAAACTTTTTTTATGCGGTTTCTAAGCCGGTTTATTGCATAGCCGGTATAAAATCCTTTTAATTTTCACGTGATACAATATTGCACTTCCTGACCACATCCGTTTTTTAATGTTATTTTATCTCTAAAAGATATAAAATTAAAATAAATTGTTTGCTAACTTTAATTTTGTTATTCTACCTTAAAAAGACATATAAAACAAAAATATGATTTTGTTATAAAATAAAAAATAATTGTTTATAAAGTACATAGTTAAGTGTTTTAAAACAAATTTAAGTATCTTAAAATTAGTTTGTATTAAATCAAGTTTTACGTATCATTTTTTATGTATCATAACACCGCTGCTTCAAAGTATTTTGACAAATATAATAACCAATATCAAAAATTTTAATCGATTATCCCAATAATCATCAATCGTTTAAGATAATCGTTTGAATAAAACTCACTTTGTTTAGAAGTTTTTATAATGACTGTGTAATTACAAAGGATATATTAAAAGTAAATATATATAAAAAAAAAAGGATTTTTTAAAGATAAATTAACAAACAAAAACGTTTCAAACAGATTTGCTTAGTTTTCTAACTTACCTTATTAAAGTAAAAAGTAAATGTTTTAGACTGCAGAAATTTTTGAAATAGTAAGTTATTGAAAAAAAGTTTGAAAAAAAACATAACAAAATGTTTGAATGAAAATAAAGATAAGTGCGTATAAACTTAGATATTATTAAAACAAACAAATATCAGTTTTTAACAAAGTTTTCTTAAAATGTTCTAGCAAGGATTAAAGGCGATGTCTGCTTTACTACTTAAGTAAATACGGAGTAAAAAAAGAAAAGAAAAAAAGGATCAAAAGATTAACACAGTTATTGAAAAATGAATGAACTAAAAAAAAAGGTTGGTCTATATTAATGTGTTAAGATTTATTTTTTAACTTTATTCGCCTTAAACAGCAGGTTTCATAATGGAAATCAAAAAACTTACCTTTCAAAACTTTCTCAACGATAAATCATCATAACCTGATTAAAAGTGTCTCTTTTTAGATTGAACTGTTACAATAATACGTGAAAGATCAAAAACTTCTAACGGCTTTTTTTCACAACACAGTTAAATATGTTTGAACCACCCCCGCACTAATCAATCAAATATAATAGAATAGTTCACGAAAGAATTATTTATCAATAAGATATAATAGTTTGCAAAAGAATTATTTAGATTTATTTAATTTAAACAATACGTGATTTATTATAAAATGAGTTGCCATGGTTAAAGTAATAAAAACCACTTTTTATCAAAACGGAATTTAGTTATTAACGGTTTGTTATATATATATATATATATATATATATATATATATATATATATATATATATATATATATATATATATATATATATATATATATATATATATATATATATATATATTTGATGAAACACAGTGTTAAATGAGAAAAAATTTTGCTAAGTGATTTTCTACTAATTTATATATATATATATATATATATATATATATATATATATATATATATATATATATATATATATATATATATATATATATATATATATATATATATATATATATATTAGAATTTTAATTAAAAATATTGAAATTAAAAAACTTAAACGTTCTGTTTAATTATAGTTATAATATATAAGCAAAAAATCTATATGTCATATTTTTAATCAGTATTTAATTAGTAGTCAAACCCTAGTTTCATATGATTTAAAAATGATAAAAATATTTCTTAAACAAAAATAAAAATTAAAAAATAAACTTTTTTTCTTCTCCACTGTGGAAGACATTTTTAACATGGAAGTACAAGCCGTCAACTTCCATTTAGCTTATCTTTCCGGAGCCGTCATTAAACCTCAGACCTCATGGTCATAAATCAAAAATCCAAGGACTGCGCCGCGGCTGCTTACACAAGTTAAAAATTATGCCGTCGCTTGAAAAAAAGCATAATAAAAAGTTACCTGTTAAGATGAGAAAGTAAAATAAAAATTTAATATAAAAAAATAAAACGCCATTTTATTCCTGTTTTATCATCAAATGTCAAAAATATTAAAATATTATATTCATAAAAAGAATATTATATTCATAAAATATATTATATTCATAAAAAGAAGTGATTCTATTCGGAAGGAGATAAATTGATTGTTTCTTTATAAAAAAAATATTATTAAGTTCTCTGAATTTTGAACCAGATAATTTATACTAGATAACACTACTGACAATTTATCTTTTTAAATTTTGTAGAACTTTTTTTTTTTTTTTTGTAGTGTTTTTGAAAAATTAATCAAATAACTTGAAGTCAATTATTTGATTAATTCAATTAAATGACCGAAGAGCAAATTTAACTTCACCTGAACCTGATGATAATATTTCAAGTTACTGAAAAATTGTTTTTAGTTGTTGTAAATTTTTCTTTTATATTTACCATGTGCATGCATACATACATACATACATACATACATACATACATACATACATACATACATACATACATACATACATACATACATACATACATACATACATACATACATACATACATACATACATACATACATACATACATACATACATACATGCCTCACCATATATATTTAAATGTTTTCATTGTATATTCATTTTTCTGAAAATGCAAAACACCTTTAGGAATATCGCAATTTCTCAAAGTTTTGTTAATTTTAATTTAGTAAAAAATCTGACCATAAATGACGTAAATATTAAAAACATATCCTTTTAAAATTATACTTTTTTAACAGTCATAATGTTTTTAACAAAGTCTAAGTCAAAACATTCTACATTTATAATCCTTTAGATTAAGTTGGATTTAGTTCACCTTTTAGTCAGTAGTTGTATAATGATCAAAAAACAGTTCCTGTTTCTGAAATATATATAAGAAAAACAGTATGATTTTTAGATAAAAACGTTTTCAATAGTTCCTCTTTTTATTTTTAAATCAGCAAGATAAAATTGTTATAAAATATTTATTTCAAGATAAAACATTTAAAAGATTGATTTGAAATTTTTTTTTTGTTAATGAATTGACAAAATACGAAACGTTGCAAGCAAAAAAAAAAAGAAGTAACGGGTACAAATCAAAATAATTTATTATATATTAATATTATTATATATTAATATTAATATTATTATATATTAATAAATATAATAATATTAATATTATTATATATTAATAAAATTTATTATTGAAATTTAAATTCGAATTTTAAAAAAAACTGTTATGGTTTTATTTACACATATTTATTGTATAAATATTTTTATTTTTTTTATTTTTCATGTTATATTTATCGTTTCAAATGTTCTTAAAAAAAAAAGGTCCTTTTAAAAAAAAGTTGGGGGGAACGTGCCCCCTGGCCCCCTCGGTGTCGTCGGCCCTGACAAGGAAGCAAATTATTATTAAAAAAAACGCGAGAAAATTGCATTAGACCGAATGGTCTTGTCATACTGTAGCCGTCTTTTTTTATTTGTGATATTTTTATTTGTGATATTTTTATTCGTGATATTTTTTATTTGTGATATTTTTTATTTGTGATATTTTTTGTATAATTAATATACAAAATCTCATGGTAGCATCTACTTATATTGGAATCGCAAATAATAATAATATTGTAATATTATTAAAAATAGGTAAATACTTGGTTCACATATTTTTACCTGCTTTTTCATATTTATGACAGGGATCGGCAACTGCGCATGCACCTCTTTTATTTAAATTGTGTGACTCTTCAACAATTCCGAATCATATATATTTTAATTTTATTGAAAGAGAAAAATAATTTATTATAGTTAAAACATTAAAAAAAAAAATTTAACCATGAAATAATGAAGTTGAATAGAATTATATTAAAATAAAGTACACATTCGTCATGCAGTGATTAAAGGTATGGCTCAGAACCAAGAGGTTTGTGGTTTGAAGTCGGCTCTAGTCCAATAAGTGACATTTGTAAGGAAGGATGTATAAACCTCCTAATTAAATGCTCCGCCTCGGTGCTCTGTGATACGAAAAGGTCATCTTTGAGCACTTTAAAAAAAAAGAAAAAAAAAGTACGCAGTACTGCTCAAAATCAGACTTAGTTTTGTAAAAGTGCGTGAATAAAATTTGCACGCAAAAATGTCAACATCGTATTGAAACGCCAAGTCCGCTATTCTTAGGTCACAAAATCTCGTTTATTTATCTCAAAAATTAGACTCTCGTGATTTCTAAAGAATCTTTAACAGTATCTATAATAAGGACAAACCATTTGTTCTACTTATCTTGTATGGTTCAGATTTTGTCACCTCACCTATAGACAAAGCTGAATTGTTTGCTAAAAACTTCTAGTCGATATCATCTCTAGATTCCACTAGTCGCGTTCTACCTGATATAGTTGGCAAACAGGTTAATCTATTGCTTGACGCTCGTATCACTCCAGCTTCTGTGTCTAAAGTGATTTCCTGCAAAGACTCTTCTACAGCTTATGGTCCGGAAAACATACTTGTTATAGTCTTGCAGAAGTGATCTCCGGAGCTATCGTCTTTACTTTCAAAACTATTTAACAAGAATCTTGTTTTTCTGCGTGTTAGAAAAAGCATTTGTTAACCCTATTTCTAAAAATTCTGGAGAGCGATCTGACTCGTTTAATTATCATCCCATTAGTTTTCTTACTACCATAAGCAAGGTTTTTGAGTCTTTAATTATCAAATAACTAATCTCTTACCTTGAATTTAATAACTTACTTTCTGATCGTCAATAGAGATTAAGGTCTTCTTGTTCTACTGCTGAATTGTTGACGGTAATAACCGATAGGTTTTATCGTGCATTAGATTAATGTGGAGAGGGTAAGGTTATCGCTCTCAATATTTCTAAAGCTTTTGATAAAGTTTGGCATGCTGGTCTTCTCCAAAAAACTTTCTTCTTACGTTGTATCATGTAACATGTTTGAAATTGTTTAATCCTTCCTTACCAATCGTACTATAAAAGTTATCCTCGATAGACAACACTCTTCTTTAAATCTTGTAACTTCAAGGATTCCTCAAGATTCTATCTTTAGCCCTTTACTCCTTTTAATTTACATTAACAATTTCCAAGTAATTTTCACATCTAAGGTGGCATTGTTTCCTGATGATACTTCCATTTATTTTTGTCTTGATAAGAAGCCAACATTTTCTGATTACTTGGAGAGGGCATCTCACTTCTGCTACAGCAATAGACTCTGAGTGACTTGTGAACTTTAACTCATATAAAGCCCAAACTTTTTTTCAGCTAACTGTTATCGCATCAATCTAGATCAACCTATATTTATGAACAGCAATATACTTTATGAGTCACATATGCTTTGTCTTCTAGGATTATCTCTTACTTCCAATCTTTCTTGGAAAACATATATCAAATCGATTACAAAATTAGCATCTGCTAATTTTGTAATCGCCGCTTTCTAACTCCGGATTCTATTCTTTATCTCTATAAATCTCAAATAACGCAATTGTAAACATAGTTGGACTTGCTCTTGCAGCCAACTTTTAACTATTGTCACATCGTCGCAATGTTGCTTTTTTTCCTCTTTTTTATAGATACTATGATAGGCGTTACTTTAAAGAGCTAGCGTATCGTGTGCTATCTATTAAAGTTTATTCTCGTATTACTCGTCATTCAATTAAGTCTCATTCTTTTACTGTGACTGTTCCTAAGTGCTCCGAAAAATTTTATTTATCTCGTTTTTTCCTTGAACATCAGTTCTTTGAAATTGGCTCCCTTCATTTTGTTTTACTGATTCATATAATTTACAATCTTTTAAGTCGTTATCTTGCTCTATAAATATATATATATATATATAATATATATATATATATATATATATATATATATATATATATATATATATATATATATATATATATATATATATACAATTTTTTATGATATATAATATATATATATATATATATATATATTTAATTTTTTAAAAAACAATAAAATTTAATGTACTTCCGCATTAATTTAATTGCTTTGACATTTCGACGACAATCAAATACAGCTTAAGAGACGAGGTAATTAAAATTGTAGTCGAAAGAGACTTTTTTTACATTAAAAGACTCTTTCGACTACACTATAAGGATATATATATATATA